TGATCTTGGTTATCACAAAATATTGGGATTTTTCAGTGTCTCACAGATCAATTATTTGTCAGCCTTTGGCTTTGGCAAATAATTGGTCTGCTTGCCACTGACAAATCACAATCTTTTGCTAAACTTCATCCAATAATGGTTAAATACTACATGGTTCCTGGAAAATCTGTCATGTACTGTAAATTAAAAAGGGATTGGTTAGGGGTTATATGTTGAAGCATTTTTCACAGCTGTTTTCTACCCCAGTTCCAAATCTCTTGTTTGTTGCCTCTAAAACTGTTTTTAACCTGGATGGTGTCATTAAAATGTTTTGAAAACTTATGAATTATAATATTAATTTTGTTTTATGCAGTGGATAAAAGGGACAGTAAACCAGCATTGTTTCAAGTAGAGAAGCTAGACTAGAGGGCAATGGCATTGATGACAAGATGATGGACAGCAACTGAAGCTCTTGGTATGGTATGGTATGGTATGGTATGGCTGAGCCTGGAATAGGAAAATGACCACAGGCAGGCTGCAGGAGTAGAAAACATCATCTTTAGCAACAAGTGAATGGAATGATTCTCCTTTTGTGGTTTGGTATGGCATGGCACTTGGTGAGGTAAACAAAGAATGGAGAGGCTGGACTAAAGGACTGCAGTATAATCGACAAAGTGATGAATGCAACATCATTCTCCCAGTATGATAGACTGAATGTGGATTGATGGGGCATAAGAGCAAAGCACCATGGCAATGGTAACAAAGGTAATGGATGCAGGCATCTATCAGACCCTTGGTATGGTACGTATAGCATTGAGATACTGAACTAAATAATTACTTTATGGCGGGTAAAATTAATATACTGATATATATAATATATGATATATTAAGTAACCTGGAAAATGGTCATGCTATAGCCTGGCTGTTTAACATGTGTTCCAGACAACTAAGTAAGGAAACTTAGTTTTTCATCCCAAAATGAAAATAATGTTCTTATCCTCGCTCCAGCAAAAAAGAGGAGTTTCCAGGTGTCAGAAATAAAATAGATTTCCATTTTCATCCACTCTTTATGTGTACATTCACTAGTTTTTGTGTTTTAACACTTGTTTTCTGAAACACATGTCAAACGTATTGGGGGATGGCTTTTTCCTTTAAGAAATAATTAATATCGTTATTAAATTAGGTTATGAAGTTATTATTCAGCCATCAATAATTTTTACACAAGATTTTATCTAGTGTCTATTAATATTATTATTAGTAGTAGTAGTAGTATTCTTTTTATGAAGCATTTCAAAAATGATTTTCAATCTTTGACCCAGCCCGGGAAGTCTGAATGCGGGGTACAGCTGGCCCGGGGTTTTCCTCCTAGGAGCAAGTGGACGTACGGGGAGGTTTTTCACCCAGCTGTTGTTCCACAACCCCCATTCATTAAGTGTTTTGGCTTTTCGCTCAATACTTCTTTACACAAGACCATATTAACTTAATTGAACATTATTTATCACATTGTATTACTACAAATCATTGAATTACCCAGTTGTCACATGACTGAGAAAAAAATCTTTTTTTTCTCTAGGGGCTCCTTTAATCCTGTAAGGGATCCTACAAAATCATTAGGGTGTCCCGGAGAATCCACAGATGTATAGGGCATTCTGAAGTTTTTTTTGGAAGGGTTTCCAATATCTCTATTACTTAGGCCCAAGGTCCATGGGGTATTGGAAGAAACTTGCGGGAAAGTAGAAAATCTTCAGAAATAATTAGGTTGTTCCTGGAAAATTTTTGGAGATGCTCGGAAGTCTGCCCTTAGCAATCCTCATATTTGTCTTTGGGGGCTGGAAAACATTTAAGGGGTATTCAGCCTGAGGTAAGGTGATAAATTTTCAGCCTTTGACAACTGGAAGTACAGCATGATTCAGTGTGTGTGCCACCATTGTACAAACAAAAGGTCATTGAGGAATGTGAATTAGCATTTACTTAAGCACCAGGAAATACAGGTCCATAAGAATTTTAGCATTTAATTGCCAGATCATTCCCTGATCACATTTGTTTGTACAACCACTACTTAAGATTTAAAATTTTCATCACAAGATTCCATTGAGCAGGGGATTTGTTTAACTTCTGTACAAGCATATTTAATAATCTTAATATACAGCAAGTTACAGTTTGTCTTGAAAGGTTTTTCTGAACTGGCACAGATTTATCAACATCATTACAATCATCATCTTTGCCATCATCATCATAATCATCATTGGTTTCATTATCATCATCATCATCATCATCAGTATCACCATTATCATCATCATCATCATCATCATCACCATCAGTATCATCAGTATCATCACCAACATCATTATAATCATCAGTATCATTAAAATCATCATTGACATCATCATCATCATCAGTATCATCATCATCAACATCATCATCACCATCAACATCATCATCATCATCATCATCACTATCAGCCGACTGCAGCCAGGTGTTCATCTGATGCTTTTTAAATTTTGGTAGTGAAAGTTTGAATGGACTTCCTCTTGAGGTTTCACACATTGTTGGTTTAGCCCATATGTTATGGTTAAATTTTGTCCTTCATTTAAATGTTATTTTCTTTTGTTTCAAAATCATTACCATACATTACCGTACCCAAAAACTACAGAATTACAGAAGCAACAGAAAGTGGCTCTTTCCTGCTAGGTTGTGAAGACACAAAGGAAACACTTTGCGTATTTTAGTTTTGCTACTATACGACCTGGTTACAGTATAGTATGAGTTAAACAGTCTTATAGTAGTTAGCAAAATTTTAGATTTGTGTCATCTCAAGTCCCCCTTATTTTTCGATTTCTGTCTTATTGGCATCTTTTAGTCATTCATTTTAGTCAAACCACTTAGGCAAGTGGGTTACCCGGATAAGGAACAGTTTAGGTAGTATTTTGGCCTGGCAACTAATAATTCTTAGTCAGCTGGTTGTGGGAACCACCAACACAAAAAAATCAGGTTTCCTTTTTTTGCTCCTCTTTTGCCTTTAAAATTAGGTTCTAATTTTTGCAGGTGATGCAAAAGTTTTGTCATTTAAGATTTTTTTTTGCAATGCTTTGATACATTTCGGCCATCAATGAATTTTTTTACCAGTAATCACATCTATTCAGTAGCTGACCCAAATAATGAGGTCGTGCCGGGAGGGGGCGGGGGGGGGGGGTCCCATGTCGCCCGTCTGAATTTTAAAACGTCTCGTGTCGGTGTTTATAAATGCTTGTCGCTTATTGTCGGCTTTGCCGTCACTGTCGAAATTTGGCCGAAGGAGGTTGTCTCTTGTTGCGATTTCATTTTATGCGCTGTCGCTACTTTTTGGGCCACGTCGCTTCTTGGAATTTACCCTGGCAGGGCCTTAATAATTATATAAGTGTGATTTGTTCAAGGAGTCACTCACTTGGGTAGGCTGCATAGCTGGCAGGATCAGCACGTCAGCATTTATCATCATATCAGTGCATATCTAGGCAGAGTTGCGAATCCGTGTAGTTCTTGCGGCTTTGCCACAAAAATCTCACCCACAAGGATGTACAACTAGGCTACCACTTGGGTTTTTTTGCTCACTGGTTGCCATGGCAACCTCATTGCTTATTTGAAAGCTAAAGGGCCAGTTTTTTTCTGCACAGCTCCTAAGCTCATCGTTTACTGTTAAGTTTTATAAGTGCAACAGGTGCCCAAGCATAGTCCACCTTTACTAATTATTATGTTTTTTGAGACATTTTTCCCTATTCTGGGAATATCTAGGGGAGGTTGTAGCCGCAGCCAACATGATGGCCATGATGGCCCAATTAGCATAATTGTTGTTGATTGTTGTTGATTTGGCCGTTTTTTTTAATCAATTTGATTCCAACTTTTTCCAGCGACAGACAAAGGAATGCTTCCAGGTTTTGGTTAAAATTTATCTTAACTCATAATTTCAGTCCTCTTTTTGCTAGCTAAAATTTCACCATCGAGAGAGAATCCAACAAAAATATAGGAAATTTTTTCTGTTAGGTTAAGGTCAAGCTAGAAATTATTTTATTTCATCTCAGTATTCTTATTCAGGTTAGATTTATCACAGAAATAATTATTAGTATTATTAATATTATTACTGTTGAAGGTGATCACTGGTCTGCTTTTTATCAAAAACTGTCATTTTAGTTGAAATCTAGAAAAAAATCTAGTGCTGATTTTTGTTGAGTGGAAGACACAAAAAAAATTTGGAATAGTTTGTAGGCGAATATGAACTGTATTTTATTCCAAGGATTGTCAGGCTCGATTCCTAAAGGTTATAACACTCCGAAGGGTCCAACTTCTAAAGGATTACACAGGATTCCACAGATTCAATTCACTAAAGGCTCACAGATCGTCAAGATGGCTACAAGAACGCAACACGTTTTCGGATCTCTCCCAGAAGGCATAGCGCGCTCCTAAACTCTTACGTCATCGCGCACACTCCCCCCCGTGGACCATGAAGAATGGTCCACCTTCTATACCTAGAATCAAATATCGAAAAGAAATTTAAAAAAAATAATGATATAACTCAGTGAATATAGTCTCTCTCAAAAAAACTGTTCAATGTTCAGAATACATAAACAAACTTAATGTTCGTCTTGTAATTCAGCAATTCACTGTCTTCTTCTTCGCTCTCCCTCGACTGCAGCTCTACGCCGCTCTCGATTTCCTCTCGCTCGACCTTGCGTCGGCTGTTCCGGTGATTCAAGTACTTGTTCCTGAGGAGCTGCTTCATTCGTAGAACAGCTTACTTCCAGTGGGTACAACAATTGTAGCGGTCTCCTTAAGAGTCCACCTCCACTTGATCCTCTCCCTTGGACTCTGACCTCAGCACCTCTACTCTGCCCATCCTTGCTCATCAGAAGCCGTTCCACCTTGCCCATCTTCCAATAAGATCTTGGGTGGGTTTCGTCATGAACCAATATCAGATCTCCGACACACACTACCCTTGATCCCACCGTCTTCTTCAATTGGTTATGGGCATTTCGTAATTCAAGAAGGTATTCTGCTCTCCAACGCTTCCAAAAATGAGTCAGAATCATATCAAGGTGTCTTGCTCTTCTGCTCAGGTCGTCCGGCGAAATTCTAAAGTCCGTATCTGCAGGACTGTCTATTTCAGGAAGGGCGCCGAGTCTTCGACCAACAATGAGGTGGGACGGTGTGAGGGGTTCCTCCAGGTCCTCAGAAGAGACATATGAAATGGGTCGGCAATTTAAGATCATTTCAGCTTCTGTAACAACAGTTACAAGTTCATCATAGGAAAGCTTGGCTCGGCCGATTGTCTTCTTAAGACATCTCTTCAGTGACTTGACAAGTCGTTCGTAAAAGCCTCCCCACTATGGGGCTTTCTCTAAGTTGTAGGACCATTTGATCTTCTCTTGGGCAAAGTACTTAACAACACTGGGATCACTTGTAATCTTCTCAAGCTCCTTAGAAGCACTCTTGAAGGTCTTGGCATTGTCTGATACCACTAAAGAAGGCCTTGAACGACGAGCTACAAATCTTCTGAAGCACCTCAGAAATGCCTCTGAAGTCATATTGGGCACAACCTCGAAGTGGACCGCCCTCGTAGAACAACAAGTAAACAAACAAATCCAGACCTTACATTCTTCGTCACTGGTAGACTTCACAAAAAAGAGGTCCAACATAATCCAAACCGATGTACGAGAATGCAGGCGCCTCTTTGACTCTGTAGTTAGGCAGGGGTGGAGCTTGTGGAACCTTATACGGTTTCCCTTCAAACTTCTTACAAACTGTGCATCTAAACAACAAACGTCTGATAAAGTATCGGCCTCGAACAATCCAAAAGTTCGATCTCAACTCGGTGAGTGTTTCCTTAACTCCTCCATGCATGACTCTTTCGTGACATCTCCAGACTACAAGTGTAGTTAAGTGGTGGCTAGCGTCAAGCAAGATTGGATACTTCGCAGAATCTGTAAGCTCGCTGTTCCCGAGTCTACCTTGACATCGAATAACTCCCTTATCGTCCTCAAACAACCCTAGCTGGTGCGACCTCATCTTAAACTTCTCCTTACTCTTCATCTCTCGTTGTACTTCCTTGATCCATAGAAGTTCGGCTTCTTCTATGTCTGCACCGGTCACACGTATCTCCGGCTTCTGATTCACATCTCCCTGTCGCTGTGCCTTTAATAGCTTAATAAACTTCAGAACCAAGGCTGTAACTCGCAGGAGACGTCCAAGATTGCTGAAGGCTTCACTTTGAATGATATTAGACAGCATAGTAGGTTCACTGTTCATTGCAAGAGCAGTCGTTACTGTCTTTCGATCCTTCACCCTCATTTCTACAAGGCAGGCTTCAGGGACTGGCTCTTCCGCAATCTCCTTCCGATTCTCCAGGCCTTCGAAACTAGTCAGCCACTTGGGACCATTCCACCATAGCGCACTGTTCTCCAACTCACGACAGTCCATACCTCTAGAGAGTAAGTCGGCTGGGTTGTCAGCCCCTGGACAATGATTCCAGCATTCTTCAGGTACAAGCTTTCTTATCTCGTCAACACGGTGCTGAACAAATGGTTTCCACTCCTTCTGGCTCTGAACAATCCAATACCAGGCTATCTTGGAATCTGTCCAACAAAACAATTTGTCAATCTTCATCTCAGAACTAAGTGCTTCCTTTACGCTATGGATCAGTCTGGCCAGGACTACCGCGGATAACAGTTCTAGACGCGGTATGGTCTGCTCCGAGAGAGGTGCTACTCGTGTTTTTGAAGATACAAATCTGACATAACTTGTACACGTCGTCACAATACGCAGAAAGACCACGGCACCGTATGCCTTAGCTGATGCATCACAGAACCCATGCAGTTCACTCGCAATCACTTCCCCTTCCGTGCCAGCATAATAACATCTCGGAAGAGTAAGAGGTGTAACACCCTGCAGTTGTGTCACCAATCTCTGCCAGATTGACTTGCAAGAACCTTCCAGTGGTTCGTCCCAGTCTTTCTTGTCCTTGCACAACTCTTGAAACAGGATTTTAAACTGGACTATGATCGGAGAAATCAGACCGAGTGGATCATACATTTTTGAGGCTGTGCTAATCACGTTTCTCTTTGTAGGTTCTACTCTCTTTGCTAAAGAGGCAGTGTTTGTAAAATCAAAGACGAGATTGTCATTGTGATAGTTCCATAGAGTCCCTAAAATTCTTTGAACGCTAACATCTTCAACTGCACTTCCTAGAACACTTCTTGAATAGGTCATATCTTCTTCTTCCACGACGTTTGTGTCTACTACTGGTGTTTCAACAACCTGCATGTCAACATTCCCTCCATCTCCAGAAGCTGTTTCTCCTGAGAGCAATCTCTCATTGTCCTCAATTCTCGCTCGCAGTTCTCCTGAATTTGTGATAAACTTCCGCAAATTGAAACCTGCTTCCCTGAGCCTCGATTTCGATTTCACATAGAGCTCAAAGGTGCTGTCCACGTCACTGTCCCCCGATGTCAGGTCATCAACATAGATACTTTCAAGAAACTTCCCGGTAAAATCAGGGTCACATTGTTCATACTGCTCTATATGATGTTTAATTGTGGCGTTCAGTAAGAATGGGCTTGAAGAGAGTCCAAACACAACACGTGTAAACCTCAGTGTAATAACTTTAGGTTCAGCCTTATCGACGTCATCGACCCACAGGAAACGGAGTACATCCTTGTCAGTTTCATTCATATGGACCATTAAGAACGCCTTCTCAATGTCTCCCACCAGAGCTACTCTGTGATTTCGGAACCTCAACATAATGTCAAAGACACTTTGTGTAAGCGCAGGACCGGCATGAAGACAATCATTTAATGAAGCTCCATCTGACTTGGCTGAGGCGTCATATACAATTCTTAACTTTGTAGTTGACTTGTCTCGTCTGATAACAGCGTGATGAGGGATGTAATGGACGACATCAGGCTTGGTTTCTTCATTCACAACTTCCACAATTCCTCTTTCGATTTGATCCTTTATAACACTGTCATACTCCTTCAGGATGTCTGGCTTCTCACGGAGTCGACTCAGCAAACCTTGCAATCTTCGAAGACTCAACTCATAATTTTCAGGGAGTGGTGGATGTGTAGCCGTCCACGGGAGACTGACCTCATAGTGGTCTCCCTTGTACAACAACTTCTCAACAAACTCTTCATAGACACTTGGCGGCTTCACACCGAGAGACTCTAAGTCCCAGAACTTCTTCAACTCTCCCTGAAGACCATCATAGGACACTTGATCAGTAGCACATTTTAAGACATGGGTTGTCACAAGATTACTTCTCTGCTGATTTTCTACACTCCCTAAGCAAACGGGTCCTGAAAGTACCCATCCCAGTTTGGTGTGAACAGCTGTAGGACCTTGGGCCCCTTTAATGGTGTGGCCAGTCACCAACTTCCAGTAATAATCTGAACCAACTAGAATGTCAACACCAAGAGTCTCTCCTTCGGTACAAAAGTCAGCAAGTTTGAGTCCCGAAAGGCAGGGGTTATTTTTCACTGCTAGTTCCACAGGTTGACCTTGTAATGGTTGACAAATTAGAGGCAATGTAAAAGCTGACAGTGAAAGATCTGGTTCTCCGTTTAGCTCTACTCCTAGGGCCACAACTTCTACCACCTCTAATCTTTCAACGGTACTTCCAAAGGTTTTTATTGAGACTTGCTTCTTCTCTAGTGTAGGTAGTTGAAGAATGTTCTTCAGGTTGTTTGTAAGATAGGTGCGCTGACTTCCACTGTCCAAGATTATTCTAGCCCTGACCTTAACCTCTGGCTGTTGAGGATTGTACACCACAGCTTGGGCAGTTTGAAGGAACACAGGTGTAGTGGAATCAGTATGAAAAACGACACTATTGCTGGCAGTTTGGGCTGTTAAGCATTGCTGTTGTGGTCCTGGTGTGGGAACTGGTGTTTCAGGTTTCGTTGGCTGTAAAGGACTCAGGTTGGCTGGGCAAATACTAACATGGTGTCTGCCCTTGCAGTTATGACACTTGAATTTGGCTGAGCAGTTACGACTAATGTGATCTTTTCGCAGGCAAACAAAACATCTCCCGTACTTCTTCAAAAGCTCCTTACGAGCTAGTACATCAGGTACTGTTTGGCAATCCCTTGATGGGTGTTTTCCCCTACAGTAGGTGCAGGTGGGACAGTTAGCATCACCACCAGTTAACAAGGCATGAGTAGTTCCTTCTTCCCTTCGTTTCGGTTTTGGTGGAGAGGTTTGTCCTTTGTTCACTGTAGACCCTCCTGCCCTTTCTCTTGCCTCAAGCTCTCTTTTAAAAATATTGAGCAATTGATCCAACTGCCAATCATCATCTCCAATTTCTCTTGTAATAACAAGACGAAATTCTTGGGGTAGCTTATTCATTAAGATGGATGATAGCAAACCCCCATACGATTCACGTGAAACTCCTAATGACTTTAAGCTTCTCACATTAGATTCAACAGTGTCGTGCAGCTGACGTAGGCTTCTTACATGATAGTGAGATGTGACAGATTCAAGATTCAACAAAATTTCCATGTGACGATTAATTATTTGCTGCTTGTTGCCAAATCTAGCTTTCAAAATGTCTACTGCTTCCTCATAGTTCGATGCCCCAAGACTTAACCCGGAAATGGCCTCTGCCGCTGACCGTTCGAGCAACGAGTTTAGGTAGTTAAATTTGTCAATGGCAGTTAAACTCTCATTTTATGAACTGAGGCTTCAAAACTATCCCAGAAAGAAATCCACTTACTGTGATCGCCGTCGAACTTCTTTAACTCCAGCTTTGGCAATTTAACTTGAGTATTTCTCCGCACAGATGAAGAGGAATTCGACGTTGAAGCTGAAGGAGGCGAAGAATTACTCCCGATTTGAACTTCATTTGCTGACGTGCTTTCCGACACGTTCGCTTCGGTATTTACATTTGAACACACGACCTTCGGCGACAAGGCATTTTCTATGTTAGCAATAGCCAACTGAACATTTTCCTCCAGCAAATCTGCTCGTTCAATTTCACCTTCGATTTCTTCTTCGGCCACAAGGTCAAGAATTTCTGCATCAAGTTGCCGAAGAGTATTGAGTTTCTGCTGTAGGCTGTCCCTTTGTTGTTTCAGCTTGATTTCGTGTTCCCGCACTTGAGAAATGTCTCCTCCTCCAAGGACATCAATAACGGATGAAATAATACGTTTCGCACTTGACCTGTGCCCTGCACGCTGCCGTCGCTTTCTGGCGAGTTCTTCGGCCATAACACAACGCTACTTCACTCACAACTCGTACGTAGAATCCGCTTTTATCCGGCTAACGATGGACCATGTAGGCGAATATGAACTGTATTTTATTCCAAGGATTGTCAGGCTCGATTCCTAAAGGTTATAACACTCCGAAGGGTCCAACTTCTAAAGGATTACACAGGATTCCACAGATTCAATTCACTAAAGGCTCACAGATCGTCAAGATGGCTACAAGAACGCAACACGTTTTCGGATCTCTCCCAGAAGGCATAGCGCGCTCCTAAACTCTTACGTCATCGCGCACATAGTTTTCAACATAATAATTCAAGGTTTTTAGAGGCAATCGATTACCATCACACAAAGGGAAATTTTTGCAGTAGGTTTCAATGTAACAATTTAAGGGTTTTTTTGGACCATTGATTACCATCACATTCTGTTTAATTCTCCTCAAATATAATTATGTATGCCTTTATCTCTTGGTGTTACAAAGTTTCAAAAACATTTTTCGGTGAACTCTAGGTCTTTTTGTTTGCGCCTTGCTAGGTAGCCTAAGAATATGTGCGATGCCTGCCCGTTGGAGTCCCTGTGAAGTGTCATCTGAGGAATGAGTGCAGAGATTCATACTGATTATGTGTCACTACCCAGATCCGGGTAGTGCTTCTGATTGGTTGAAGCAAGTTTGTCTTACAGCACGACTAATCAGAATCACTACCCAGATCCAGGTAGTGACACATCATCAATATAGAAGATTTGTGCTCGTTCCTGAGACGTCATTTCACAGGGGAAGCAGAGGGGGTATTGCAAAATATTGGCTTTTTTTCTCAGCCAATATGGCTACAACTAGTAAATAAGTTTTCTACTAAATCTGTATTTTTTATATACATCTTCTGGGACTTGTATGTAACACCAAAAAGTACTGGCATGAATATTATTTTTAAGTGCTAGTGAGCTTGCATTAGTTTTGAAATACTTTTTTTAAGTTCTTATTTAATTTCAGACCTCAGGTGGCACACGCACAAGATTAGGAGCCCATCACTTTGGAAAGGTCATATTTAAATCTAGCCAACCTCGTCCCTGCTGGGCTGTGGAAGCTCTGCTTCTGAGAAG